CTGATTGAGTAGTACCAAGCCACTTCAGTGACTTTGTTTTTTTTTCATACACTCACACTCCCATCTAAATGACCATGTTTGAGTGAGTATATGAACATTACATCTATGCAGAGACTGACTGAATTCCTATTTCATGGATGAGGAGTGAAAAACAATATTACTGATACAAAATCACTTACTATTTTCAGTTAAACTTAAAAGCAGGAAATATAATTGGGACAGTACAATTACTGAGTTTATTATTATCATTACTATGCTGTTATGTAACTGTCACACTTGTTTTAATAGGTGATTGTTAATAATATGCGCCAATTTAATTTATTATTTTTTAATTTCATTTTTGTTTTCTTTCTTTAATAATGTGCAGAGCAACTTGTGAGGTTAAAACTCCCCAAGTAAGCACTTTATGTGTGGATATTGTTGCGAGGGGTTAAAGTTGCACCATGTTCTATTTGGTGTTTGGGAATGGGTAAATGTCGCACTTCATTTTATACTTCTACTTCTTGTTTTGTTTTCTACAATCTTATTGGAAGGGTCTTTTCTGTTATATTTAAACGAAGCGTTTGTATGTAAGCTTACATTTTTAAAGACGTATGGTTAAACCACACAATGTTAACGCATCAGGCGTTTGCCAGGTGAATCTTATAAGTTGGAATGTTAAATCTTTGAATCATCCAGTGAAACGTGGAAAGGTTCTCTCACACTTAAAACAGTTAAATACAGATATCGCTTTCCTACAAGAAACCCACCTGAAAACTTTTGATCACTTTAGACTAAGAGGAGGATGGGTGGGACAACTCTTTCACTCGACTTCACTCCAAATCTAGAGGAACAGCAATTTTCATTAGTAAAACGGTTTCATTTGAGGCATCAAAAATCGAAGCTGATCCAGCAGGCCGTTATATAATGGTAGTGGGTAGACTAAATAATACTCCGGTAGTTATGGTAAATGTATATGCACCCAATTGGGATGACAGTGCATTCTTTACGGGTCTCTTCTCACGAATACCTAATATAGATACTCATCATCTTATATTAGGAGGAGATATTAATTGCGTACTATCACCCTCACTGGATCGCAGCTCTCTCAAACCAATGATACCAAGTCGTACAACTCAAGTGATTAACCAACTTCTTAAAACCTATGGAATGATTGATGTTTGGAGATTCCAAAATCCTGGGTGTAGAGGTTATTCATTTTATTCACCAGTTCATAAGACATATTCACGTATAGATTATTTTTTTCTGGACAGTGAACTACTTCCTCTAGTTAGTGAATGCAAATATAATGCAATAGTGATATCAGATCATGCGCCATTATTAATCACTCTAGATATGCCAATTACATCAAACAACTATCGGCCATGGCGATTTAATACACTACTTCTCTCTGATGTGGAGTTTGTTAAATTTATATCATCAGAAATTAGAGAATATTTAGGGCACAATCAGACTCCAGGAATATCCTCTAGTCTTATCTGGGAATCTCTTAAAGCCTATCTTCGAGGCCAAATTATATCATAAAGTGCCAGATTAAAGAAAAAACAACATGAGCGGCTTAAAAAAATTGAAAATAATATTTTAAAACTTGATGAAATTTTGGCACACTCATCTACACCTGACATGTTTAGACAGCGTTTAGCTCTTCAGTCTGAATTTAACTTATTATGTACAAAACAAACAGAAAATCTTTTAATTAAGTCCAGGCATAAGATGTATGAACATGGTGAAAAGATAGGGAAGATCTTAGCTCACCAACTTCGACAACAAAATGCAGCACATTCCATTATGTCAGTTAATGATAACACTGGCACTAAATTGACGAATCCCTTAGAGATCAACCATCGGTTTAGAGAATACTATTCACAATTATATACTTCGGAGTCTTGTAAAGATGAGTCATTATTTGATTCTTTTTTTAAGAAAATTAGTCTACCCACTATTGATCAAGAGTTCGCTCTAGACATGGAGAATCCATTTTCAAAAGACGAATTTATTAGAGCAGTGTCATCTATGCAAAACGGAAAATCACCAGGCCCAGACGGTTTTCCAAGTGAATTCTTTAAAAAGTTCTCTGGCGATCTTGCCCCTATTCTACTTTCCCTATATGAAGAATCCTCAGTCACGGGCTCCTTGCCAGAGACTATGAATCAAGCAATTATTTCTCTAATCTATAAAAAAGATAAAAATCCATCAGAATGCAGCTCTTATCGACCAATTTCATTGCTGAATGTTGACAGTAAGATATTCGCCAAAATATTAGCGCATCGGCTGGAAATAGTGCTACCTACAATAGTTTCTGGTGACCAGACAGGCTTTATTAAAAACCGATATTCATTCTATAATATACGCAGACTTCTAAATATCCTCCACCATCCCACTCCATCTGATGTCCCGGAAGTCCTTCTCTCACTTGATGCTGAGAAGGCTTTTGATCGGGTGGAGTGGGACTACCTCTTTTACACTCTTAAAAAATTTGGATTTGGCACAAAGTTCATTTCATGGATTAAAATCTTATACTCATCACCTATGGCAGCAATACGTACAAATTGTCACATTTCTCCTTTTTTTCGTTAGAAAGGGGAACCAGACAAGGCTGCCCTCTGTCCCCCTTATTATTTGCATTCATAATTGAACCTCTGTCCATTGCGATACGAAATGATATCAATATCAAGGGTATACAGAGGGACAACTTTGAACATAAAATTTCTCTCTATGCAGATGACACCCTCCTATATATATCTGAACCACTAACAACTCTACCACAAATTATGACATTACTGACTGCCTTTGGGAAAATATCAGGTTATAAAATAAATATGCAAAAAAGTGAGCTTATGCCCATTAATAATGCTGGTAGAAAGATTATTTTTACCTCACTACCATTTAAAATAACTAAAGACAAATTCAAATATTTAGGTATATGGATCACTAATAAATACAAACATTTGTACAAAGTTAATTTCCCTCCACTGATAGATTCCATAAAAAAAGACCTTGAACATTGGAATCCGTTACCATTGTCACTGGGAGGTAGAATAAACACTATAAAAATGAATATATTACCCAGATGTTTATATCTTTTTCAGTGCATACCCGTATTCTTAACAAAATCATTTTTCTTACTTTTAGATAAATTAATATCATCTTTTATATGGAATGGAAAAAATGCACGTATCCGTAAAAATATTTTACAACGACACCGAGACCATGGAGGATTGTCATTACCCAACATTCAGCAGTATTACTGGGCAGCTAATATTCGAGCAATGCTACACTGGTCAAATCCATCATATGACAGTGGCCCTAATTGGTTATCTTTAGAAAACACATCAAATTTTTCAACCTCTCTCCATGCTCTGCTATGCTCAAATTTTCCGACACCTGAACCTTTATCTAAATACTCTTTAAACCCAGTTGTCAAACACTCACTCAAAATATGGGCACAATTTAGAAGAAGTTTTGCACTTAAAGGACTATCAGCCTATGCCCCCATAGCAAGAAATCATATGTTCACCCCCTCTACTATAGACAAAACTTTTGACATCTGGTCTATGAAAGGTCTTAAGATATTAAAAGATATGTTTATTGATGGGCAATTTGCTTCATTCCAACAAGTAAAAGTTAAGTTTCAAATTCCAAATTCTCACTTCTTTAGATACCTCCAGCTGCGAAGTTTTGTGTCCTCCTCAATGAGTCGCTATCCCTCACTGCCTCCCCCCTCCCTGCTTGACTCTATTATGGAGCTAAGCCCATACTCAAAAGGACTTATTGCCAAAATATATTCTATAATTAATTCCCACAATCTGGAACCCCTAGTAAAATTAAAAAGAAAATGGGAGGTGGAGCTAGAGATAGAACTATCAGAAGATATGTGGCAATCCGTTTTAGACAATATCCACTCATCTTCAATTTGTTTAAAACATAGAGTTATACAATTTAAAGTAGTACATAGATTACATTGGTCCAAAGTGAAACTAGCCAAATTTAAACCAAATATAGACCCTAACTGTGACCGGTGTAACATTGAGCCAGCTACTTTATCTCATATGTTTTGGGCTTGTTCAAAATTAAAGAAATTCTGGCAGCTAATATTTAAATTCCTCTCGGACGCATTAAATACCTATATAGAACCTGAGGCCATAATTTTAATTTTTGGGATCACACCACAGTCCTTATGTTTTAACAAAAGCAAGATAAATGTGATTGCCTTTGCTACGCTTTTAGCTAGAAGATTAATATTGCTGAAATGGAGGAAAAACTTCCTCCAACCTTTAAGCAATGGCTTATGGAACTTCTACACCACCTGACCTTAGAAAAAATACGATACACTTTAGGAGGCTGTACTGATATGTTTTTTCTCACCTGGCAACCTGTTTTAGATCACGTAAAAAAGATGGACCCCTCAGTCATTTTAGAAGAGTAGAACCTTTCCTTGTTTGTTTTTTGTTGTTGTTTTTTTTTTTTTTTTCTCTTCAATTTTTTGTATTGTCTTTTTTCTCCCCTTATTAATGAGAGTAACATATGTTTTACTTATTATTACTATTTATTTGTATTTTTTCTTAATATTATTTTTTTTTTCTAGAACCTAAATGTATGTGCGGCAGGTTTTGTTTGTTTGTTGTGTAAAAAAAAAAAAATTGAAAAGCTATTTTGTAATGTATGTTTCATATCTAATATGTTCAATAAAAATACTTTTGGAAAAAAAAAAAAAATCTGAGGAATCCTGTTTTTTTCTTTTTTTGCTGTATCGAAAACGTACCGAACCGTGACACCACTGTCGTATCGAACCAAACCGTGATTTTTGTGAACCGTTACACCCCGAATATATATATAAACACGTATGTACACGAGTCTGGCTGGAGAATCAGCTGGTCAGACTGATGCTGTAAATCACTGATCAATAGAAGAGGAATACAGCAGATGCAGATATATACATTTACCCTGAGGAGTGTGCTAATCCTCCATCTGCAGCTGTGGATGTGCACAAACTAAAGCGG